TTCAAGCTGACTACGTTGAAACAGTGATATATTGTTGGCAGAGAACAGTGAGCTGGCAAGAATGTGTGACTCGGACAAAAACAAAAAAGAGAAAAAAAAACAGCCCTAAATCAATGGCAAACAAGCCTAAGACGCTAAGACATCTCACACCGCAAGTCGCGGATCACCAATGTCAACACTGCACTCACTGGCAAAACTGATTTCAGTCACTGTTCAACGGTTTTCCCTGCTCCCATCTTTGCTGCTGCTCCATCTCCCCCTGACTTAACAAACTCAGATGGGCATTAAAGTGTAAGTTTATCCACATTTTTCTCCAGCTGCTTTGGTTCCACTGGGTTTACGTTCCAGACCATACGTTCTCAAAGTTTCTTATATTCCAGCAACCAGGTGTAGTTTTTACCTGTTTGGACGGTGAGCTCCCGTCTTCCTCCTCCTCCACTCTGTGTCACTGTGACGTGTCGTGTTAAAACAGCTAATAATGACAAGTCACAGTGGCTTCTTCCTGGTTGTTTTAATCAAAGAAACCTGGAGAACATATCAGTGGACAAGCATAGAAACATAATGGCGGACCAAAGACTCCGACCAGTATGTTTAGGAGGAGAAGCTCAGCTTTTCAGAGGACTGACTCTCTGACAGAAGGACAGAGATCAGGATGATTTAGGATTCAAGTGCAGGTAAGGATGGACATCAGTGCTGTCCAATTTCTGATAAGGCATTCCTTTTAGAGACATATTTTATTTATAATTATTTTGGACATAAACATTTGCGGGAAGGTGAGGATTTTAATAAGGGTTGGACCACGCAGCACCTAAAATATTTTTTCATACAATTCCAACCAAAAAGAATGGAATAATTGAATTTAATCTGACTCCAGTCAACCTCAATATAAGGCAAAGATCAGGTAGTGCTTCACTGCATGCATACCGTGTACACATCCAACACATGCACTATCTGCACAAAAACCCCACCAACATTCGATTGTTCTTCCCTCTCATTATCCCAGTGGGTGCAGCTTTCATGCTTCCCAGTCTGTGCTGAGTTTAACCCAACAACTGTGCAACGACACGCATTTTTCTTTTTTTTTTGCATCTATTTGCAAATATAAATCCCTACACTCATGCTCCAGTGATGCATGGCTCTGAGGGTTATCCCTTTCATTAGAACCCAGAACAGCAGCGTTTGTGTAATCTAGTCTGGTATAAGTCTCTCAGCCCCTCTGCCCCCCCATCTCCCATCCTCTTGCAGTATGGATGGCAATGGAGAGTGTGTAATTCAGAAGAGTGCTTTATCTGTCATTAGAATCTGGTAATCTGTACTCCAGTGTCGCCAACGATGAGACGGGCTATGGACGGATGAACCTGTAAAATAAACGACAGATCATAGGAAAAGGTTATTATTGGTACAAATGGTCTCAAACAATAAATAACAGCACAGTACTCTGTATATACAGAATCATTAAGAGACACACGCAGTACAGCTGTGAAACACAGTCAAAGGTTGAACTAAAAATATACACCGTAGTCAGATCAAAGAGAACCTAAAAAAAAACAGAACAAAGAACAATCCACAAAATGTTGCATAAGGAAAGTAAACTCCTTATCACTGTGACACAGCACACAACCAAACCTGTGACCTCTGCCTTTAAACTATCACCAAAGTGAACAGTTGGTGATGGAGCACCTCAGTAGTAACTTTGGCAGCTGGTGGACTCAAACCTGACCCAAGTCCGCTTCCTTACCCACTAAGCCACCACTGCCTCAACATAAATGAATGGAATCAGTCCCAGAGAAGGACTTTTCAAGCAGGACGATGTCTCACGCTGCACTAACGTGGAATTAAAAGACATTAGGTCTCTCTCTGATTACAAATACAGTATGTACAGACTGTGGAAACGCTCAGGTCGTCAAAATCTTTGAGTATTTTTTTAACCTTTTTATTTTTGCTAACGTGCAATTATTGGTATACTGGGATTCCATTATCTTCAATATTCTTCATTAAGAATAATAATAACAACAAAAACAATACTACTACTTGTATTAATAATAATAACACTGACATTTTGTAAAGTGCAATACTATACTTAGTAGTAGTAGTTTTTGCATGTAAAAGCGAACCAAGATTTATGGAAATGAAGTTTGTTGTAACTGTGTTTATATTTCATTTAAAATATAGTAATACATACTATAAATGGCCAGTGTTTTTTCAATGTAAAGTACATCTACATGTACTGTGCCAGTGTTTTTCAATGTAAAGTACATCTACATGTACATGTAGATGTACATATACATCTACATGTACATATACTGTATACTGTATATAAACTTGATCTCTACACACCCTTATGCTTCACATAACCATTTCCCTCTGACCTGTGCTTGCAGTGGCCCGTACGGCACCAGTTCTCCGTCCACTGTGAGGGTTCCTCGTGTAGACAGGGGCTGCAGCCTGAAGGCCCTGCAGGTCACATGGTTCACATACGGGGAGCTGACGGAGTGGTGGGTTCCTCTTTCCATGGCAAAGAACAACCTCAGCAGAGTGGCTCTGGAGATTCCCGCCCGCACGAAGGTCAGGTGGATGAGGCCGTCATTAAACCTGGCCTGAGGCGCAGCATGAAGGTCAGCACCGAGGTGGCTCTGGTAGAGGGCCAGGACCAGGACAAAGTCCCCTTCAATGGTGATCCAGTCTCTAGTGGGAAGCGGTTGGTCAAGTGGGGGCAACAAGTCGTCCCTGGGGAGATTCGGAGGCAGTGAGACAAACGGACGGTTCCTCAGGGATCCTGCCGGCCCGGCAATGTCAAAGTTAAAAGATGAGGACGGCGTGCGCAGACAGGGAGACGGTGAGGACGAGCCTGGTGTGTTAGGACGGGGCACAAGGTAGGACGAGGAGTGTGGAGAAGCACAGGACGGGGAGGACGGTGGCGTGGGGGAAAGAGAGAGTGAGAGGGAGGGGAGTTTAGGGGGGAGAGAGTTTGAGTGGGAGTTCTGAAGGAGGGAAAGGGGCCTGGGTCTGGAGGGGTTCTGATTTTGGTCTAGAGTCTTGGTCTTGTGAGCAAAGGGGGAGTGACGAAAGGGGGAGGAGATGGTCAGAGCTCTCTCACGAGCGACGTCTAATGGGTAAGGTTCTCTGTCATAGTAGCTTCCATTCAAGTCCATGTCCTGTATCCTATATGAAGAGCCGGAGTCCGTCTGGGCCGGTGGTCTGAGGGGCTGGTTTAACAGAGTGTTGACGATCTGGCTGGAAGGAGCCGAGTTCTTCCTCAGCGCCTGTCGAGTGTTTTTAAGGAACTCTTCATCGGTCAAACAACACTCTGGCTCTTCGTCGGCCTCTTCACCCATGTCTAAACCACTGTTGTCCTCCAGATCTTTTACAGGCTGCACAGTGGCCTCCTTCCCAAAACCACCACCGCCTCGTCCGTCCTTCACCCTTTCGTCCTCCTCCTCCTCATCATCATCATCATCATTCTCCTCCTCCTCCATCTCACTGGAACGTTGCTCCAATCTTCCCTCCTCCTCCCTTTCATCTTTAATCCCTTCCAACCTTTGCTTCCTCTCCATATTGCATTCATCCCTTTCATTTGATTCTGAACTGGTCCCGGACCGCTCCTCTTCTGCCTCCATCTCCAGCTGCCCCTCCCTCTCTCTGTCCTCTGCCAGGCTGCTGGCCCTCACCACACCAGTTCCTCCCCCCCTCGCCCTTTGCCTTCTTCTTTGCCTTTCTCTTTGCCTGTCCTCTTTTTCCCTCTCCCCCTCACCCTTTCGCAGGCTCCGCTGTTCACTGATGCCCATGTCGGAGCAGGTGCGATGTATGGGCGTCCGACAGAAGCTCTCGAGGCCTTCTGTGATACTACGGGACAGAGGCCTCCTCGGCGGAGGAGTTGTGGCATCTGGTGATTTGGAGACAACGCAGGGCGGCAGGAAGGACAGGCGGCCCTTGTAGGATCGAAGAGAAGCGATACGGACCAGGGTGCCCAGAGTGAAGCGGGCTGAGCCCAGGCCTCGATACCTGGATAGAGTAAAAAAACGTAACGTCATCTTCAAAGCAAAGGCAGTAATTTAACTTCAGAGTCAGACTTCAAACTAAAGTCATCATAATCCCACCTCTCACTCTCAATGTCCACATCAGACACGAAGCCCCAGGCGACAGAGAGGAATGAAAACAGTCTCCTGGGCACTGCAGCGTGACCTTTGTCAGACGGGTCGGGGCTCGTCGTCACAGAGACCAGGTCCATGGGTTGAACGCCACCTCGGCTCAGCAAAAAGCAGCAGTTTAAAAGCAGAGGCTCCCGAAGGCACATGTCATACCTACAGGAAGGTGAAGACAAAACACCTGAATAGAGCCGTCAAACAATTATGATTCTTAAGTCGTATTAAAAAGAGGCTGTGGAAAAATCACAACTAATCATGATTAATGTCTATTAAGCACGATTAATCGTGTTCATACTTGCCAAGTATCACAATAAATTGAGATAAATTCAATTTCTTGATATGGAAAAGAAAAACAAATAACAGCAGCTACAGGTGTTTTGCTTATATTTCTATTTCTGACTAATCAAAATGAAGGGATTAATAACATTCACATGTTAAGAAAATATAAAACATACGTTGAAGAATTCCCTGCTCATCATAAAATACATGAGAAGTACATATTAAGTATATATCATGTATATGTTGATGTCACAGGGGACTATTGTATTGTTATTATGAATACATTAAATGCATGCTAACCCTGCGTGGTGGTTTATGGAGCCCGCAAGTGCATTTCCAGAGCCACAGGGCAGAATTCCAACTGGTGTTTTTATTGCTTGTTCCCAGTCAGGCCGTTCCATTAGTCCATTAATGACCTGTTGGATGAAAACAAAGGGTTAGAAACGATATACTGATGGACGACGTGTGTTTGAGTTTCCTATGAAAACACACAATGATAAAAAAAATACACTTTAATAATACACTCAGAAGATATAATCCTGCCTTGTACTACACTTTTATCTAAAACAAAAGTAAAACTCACTTCATGCAACAAGCCATCTCCAGAAACAATGACAATGCCATCCCACTCAGGAAGCGATATCTCTCGGATCAGCTCCCGTGCATGGTTCTGACGCTCTGGAAAAATAGAAAACAATGTCGGTTTAAAAATAAAATTGCATTTCATAGGGTTGGTGTGTTTAGTTCACTGAGCAGTGGAGCCAGGAGGCGGCTACCAGCTCTGACGTCTCACCTGTCTGTATGAGGTTGTAGCTGATGTTGGCCTCTCGGATCATTGGCAGGATGTGGGTCTGACACCACTGCATGGCCAGGCCACGCCCACTGAAGGGGTTGACCAATAACAGTAGTCGTCTTGGACGAGGTAGCAGACTTCTTGAAAATTCTTTATATTAAAAAAAAAAGAAAAAAAAAGATTAAAGGTCAATAGACGGTCAGAAAATACAAAAAATAATAAAATAAAAATACAGTATTTGATCCTTTTTCATTTTACTTTTGTTTTGACTAAAGAAAAGAACAGATTTACAGTCACTGAAGCAGGAAGGATCTGAGATGGTCTGTATTATGCAACAATTGCCAACTCAACTGAACAAGTGATTCATAAATAAAGACATTGGGTAAATCTAACTAAGGAACAAAAATAACGGTCGCTGTAAGAAGGAGGGACAAAAGAACAAACGGAGGTTCTGGCTACAGAGAAGGAACAGGGAAAAATAATGAGAATTTACTAGAAGGGAGACAAAAGGTTGGAAAACAAATCAGGAAGGTCTGACCTCATTAAGCCTCATGAGGGGAACAGAGACATGATATGATGTAGTGGTAAAAAACAAACAAACAGAGAAAATACATTAGAGCAGTACAAAACAAAAGATAATAATAATAATACGCACTACACTGAATAAAAAAAACAAATAACATGAAACTGGGAGGTGACGCCTCCCAGTTAAAACAAAGTAACTCACTGAGTGGTTTCCTAATAATACCAGGAGTTAAAGACCTAAATCTGATGCGCACATAAATTAGAGCTCCTGTAGCAACGTGAATAAATGGTGTAGAGTGTGAATGATCACTGCTCCTCCTTCAAGCACACACTCACCTGTCTCAGCAGTGACGCTCACTCCTCTGAGGAGACATTGCACGGCGGCCGACCATCTCTCGGCTTCCGACCTGCTCTCTGCCAGGTACGCTCTGACTTGCCTGCGCCTGGACACTCCTTTCCGCTTTTTCCCTGGAGGGTACCAGTACAGCACCAGAAGGGGAGGAGCAGGGGCACGAGGGCAGCTGCAGCCCACCAGTTCTGATAAAGGCAGCAGGAGACGCGCTTCCTTCCCAGGTCGTGGGGACAAGCGCTGGATGTGTATGTGGGTATGAGTGAGGGTCAGTGCATAGTTGGAGGCGAGAGACAGAGTAGGCGAGGCAGCTGGGGATAGTCCGCCGGGACCACCAGGGCTGTTGGGGCAGCTGTTATTGTTGATGTTATTGCCTGACCCCCAACTCGCAAACTGACCGTGGAGGAGAGCTTCTGCCAGAGGAGGTGTAGAAGGTTCTGGTGATCGCATCCTCACCAGTCACGTGTGCAAGGTCAAAAAAAAAAAAAAAAAAAGTGTCGGCAAAATTATAGTGTGTGTTTTTTCACAGTTTTAGTTGGTCCTATGAAGATTTTGAGAGACAATTTGAAAGCAAGTCCGTGAAGTTCATCCCTGAAAAGTTCCTTCAAATCATTTTCCTCTCCAGTGCTTGAATTTCCAGATTTTGAAAAAGTTCCTCTTCCTTACTTTCTATTTTAAACATAAATGAGGAAAAAAATGTCTTCCAGTTTGAATATTCCGTCGAGAAAACTCCCAAAGTCTTTAGTTCACAGAGTAGACAATACATCAACAATCTCAAAGGTACGGGGACTTACAAAATTCTAGTGTTCACGTGAATAACGAGTGTTGTTCAAGGAGACTGCATAAGTAAACAATAAGGTTTCAAATACCTCGAAATCTCGAGCTGCTGACTATAGAATGAAAATTAAGGCAGCTGAGCAGCGACATCTATAAATAATTATACAAACGTTTGCATTGAGTTTGGATTCATCATGTACAAATAAGACAAACAAAAAAAAATGTTCGAACAACAAGGCTACAACAATAAAATTAAACTGACGTGCAATTGAAAATTGTGTAAAGCGTATTGCATGACAAGTAGTGCTGGTCAGGGTATCATCAATGCCATAAAGATAGGACGAGCTGAGCTTTGTCAAGACCTTTGATACGGCTATTGCTATCGATAATCTCAGTCACATCGAACACAGACGGGAGGAGGGATACTGTGAAACATTAGGGTTTCATTGGGGCCATGGCTGAACATGAAGGGAGACGGGACTTGAACAAACGGAACAGAAGACAAACGAGGAGGTGGTTCCAGGTGGGTCCTTGGTTTACGCCATGAGTCAAGCTTTACGTCCCCTCCCAAAGACCTCTATTCCTGTGGGAGGAAAATGAAGAAAGTGAAATTAAAAAAATAAATATGTGTTATTTAATAAACTGAGGGGAAGAGGATTCAATCAGAAGAGGACACACAATGGACTGCTGAAACCTAACACTGCTCTGCATTCCTGTTGTGCAGAGATGGACTGTGACGATAAGAGGAAATGATACCAATTACAGGGTCGAATATGACAAGTTGCAACACGCTCCTTGGCCTGAGGTGCGTCTTTGTGGTGGTACACAATGACTAAGAGTCACATGTCCTGCAGTGACAAGAGTCTGGGTCAAAAGCATCCTTGTTAATAACCCCAGTGTCTCTGCAACAATAATGGAGGTTTCAAGAAGACTCTTGAATCTTGTACAACTTTGATCAGAGCTGAAAATGATTAAAAAAAAAACACTGACATCTCCTCGAATTGGAGGTTGTCCAAGTGTGTGTGGGACGCTTGCTCAATCACTCTTAACTGTTATATGTCACTGATACCAATTAGAGTCTAAGGGTTGAGAACATCACACCCCTATTCCTAATCAGGTATCTGACAATGTTTTTTTTCTCTCAGTTAAGCCACCAGTGAGTTGGTTTACAACGTGCAGAAACTGCTAGAATATTAAACAGTACTTTCACAAAACATTCACATGTAAAGAGTTCTTAACATGTACATCCAACCATTCACAATAAAAACCTGCTTGTTTGACCTGTTTAGTTTTTGTAAAGACATGTCAACAGAATGAAGTGTCATCAATCAATTGTACAGAAACGTCATTTAAATCCACAAAGAACCTGTGATATAAAATGGCCAGGTCCCCTGATGTCTTTTCCTATTTCATCCAAAGATACAAACACACGTCATGAGTTCTGTTCTGTCCTAACACACCGAACCACAGGGTGTGAGATGTTGCAGTCAGGGTCAGCAGACATCATTAGATCCATTAGACTTTGACGAGTCAACGTCTCACTGCACCAACACGGTGACACATCGTCCATTACTGTTTGCAACTTCCACATTGGTTTAAAAATGTTTAAATCTATGACGCAGACAAATACCAGAGACCGGCTGATGTTCTGTGCTGACAAAACACACACAACTGACCCCAGTGATGGCCATTGTTGCACCTTACGTCCTTGAATCGCAGGGCGGCGACGTTCAGAAAATAATATCTGGAGGCTAATTTTGACTCACACAATAGGGCAGTTGTTGACGGAGCTTCTGGGATATTTCAATGGAACTGGAACCGAGTCTTTAAAGGGGCTAAAAGTAAAACCCAATACTAAGATATTGGCCTTAAAACCACTAATGATTCCTGAGAAATCAGCCCTTTGGTGTGTGTGAACTTTAACCTAACGATAGCTAACAGGTTGACAGGTCCACTTACCCGGCTGAGCTTTGACAGTAATAACGCAGTGACGCCTGGAGACATTCTCAGAATGACAATTTTTACTAATAATTAAACATTTTGTTTCTGTTCACCAATAAAGCTTCGTGAGAAGAAAGCAAAAGAATTTACGTACAACAGACTAAAATGCTGCATTTAGCTGGAGCTAGCGGTTTTGCTAGTAATATATGCAATAACAAGGTTACAACAAGCACAATGAGTTAGCACGAAACTTAAAAAACTAAAACATTAATGTCCACAGCATTTTAAAAATTTAAAAAACTTCCGTTTACCACATCCAACTCGCATTTCTTGTCTCAAGTTTGCGCACATTAATGTTGTATGGTGAAGCTAGCTGACAGCTTACATGCCTGCATTTCGTCAAACCGATGGACGTAAACTTCATTTCACCAAAAAATTAATTTGGAATCTATTCTCAGATTAGTCTTGCTATCTATACTAGAACGAAGACAACCAGGAGCTTGTTTTTACCTCATCTTGTCCACCCTCTCGACGACAGACAGTGGCTCGCAGTGTAAACTGTGTCTCGGTGCAGGAAGTGTCTGGAGCCGCAGGAGCAGCAGCTTTGAGCGGCGGAGAGGAAATCCAATGGCGATAAGGAAAACACTAACACCCACCGACATTCTCCAATCATTGACAGAGCACCACTTCCGGACCGACTCATGTTTTTTTCCAGGCGAACTCGTAGCAATTGTGATCAAAACATGTGTCGAGTCACATTTTACGTAGAAACACAATGAGGATTGTGTTCATGCTTCAACAGGAAAATATGTCCTTATTTGAGGAGATGCTCTGACCATGAAGTCACCGCGTTGTTTGTGCTGTAAGCCGTTTAGTAAAAACAATGACACAGTTTTTTTTTTGAACAGCCAATCTTTTATTTGTATCAGATTGTGTGGAAAACAAAGACATTAGTTCTTGTAAGCACGGCTAGCTCTGCGACCACGAGCTCTCTCGAACTTCCTGCCCTTGGAGCGCACATAGGGCCTGGGGAAGAGAAAATACAAGTTAGAATATGACGTCACACACACAAACACATACATGAGGCTGTGTCACAATCTGTAGAAAATAATATTTTTCCTGAATCTCTCATATCATTTACACAACCTCACATAGGGTCTTAATGTGGTACTGTAACATTTATTCATTCACCATTGACTCAATAATTAAACAATATTGAGTATTAATATTGAATATTATTACATAAACAATTTGAGTAATAACCAATAATTGTTTAAATCAGTGTTATTCTTTAAATTAAATTAAATTTTAATTGTAAAATCTTTTAAGGGCAGTGTTGAGCACACAATACTAAATTAATTCTGTTTACTCTCATAAGGACCAAAGTCTGAATTGTTGTTGTAATTAATTAAATCCCAACAATAAAATTGATTAACTTATGTGGAAAAACAGAGTGGCCTATCTACATGTCAGTGAGCCTCTAAATAGTTTATTTATTGTTGTAGCAAAGTTTCTTTGTTTCTGCAATCATCCAATGTCAGGTTTGAGGAGTGTGTGATAAGAAGAACAGGAAAACTTTTTTTTTTCCCTTTAACTGTCCAACAAATTCAGGAAGCAGGCTGATTGTTGGGTGGCATAAAAGGTCAACTTAGACATTTAACTTTAGAGGTCTCGATAAACACCCAGTAATTTGACCACGATTGATTGGCAAAAATAATCACCGACATGGTAATCTTAGTTAACTCCTGACTAGTATGATGAGATGAGGGGCATACATGTTAACAAATGTATATATAAATATATAAACATTTTCACTGCATCGCCAGTCAATATGGTTAATACATACTGTGACTTATGTAACAT